TCAAATTGGTTTCTTGAACATGACAATGAGTTCACTGTACTAAAATGGCCCCCACAGTCACCAGATCTCAACCCAATAGAGCATCTTTGGGATGTGGTGGAACGGGAGCTCCGTGCCCTGGATGTGCATCCCACAAATCTCCATCAACTGCAAGATGCTATCCTATCAATATGGGCCAACATTTCTAAAGAATGCTTTCAGCACCTTGTTCAATCAATGCCACGTAGAATTAAGGCAGTTCTGAAGGCGAAAGGGGGTCGAACACCGTATTAGTATGCTGTTCCTAATAATACTTTAGGTGAGTGTATATCTAACTACAAGTGCACAAAAACACATATTCCACCATTCATTATTTATTAAAAAAAACACAAAGCCAAAATGGATAAGACATGAAAAAGCACACCCTTGCTACTTCTATAGGATTTAAATGGCTAAGCAACGGGACAGGGCTCCAGAGTGTGACTACATGCACATTGATGAGGCCAGAATTATTTTTAAAAAGTACTGAGGAAAATATATTTTTAAAAATAGCTGGCTGTGTACACAGTCTTAAAGGGAACTCTGACATGATGAAACCTATAAATATATATGAAGATTAAGGACACAGTCTGCGTTTGGTCCATCCTCTCAGTCCACTGCTTTATTCTTCCTGTATACTAGGGGTGCTCTGATCAGGATTTTTGGGGCCGATCACCGATCACTAGAAGCTGTATCGTCCGATACCGATTACAGGGTCTACTTGAAGCCTTATAAATTGCGCAACAAAAATAAATAATAATAATAAAAAAACTACAAATAACAAAAAACTTATATCTCATGTACATCTCTATATCTGTTTCTATCCGTCTGCAACTCTAATTCACTTCTCAGGGCAGGCCTAACAGGCCATTGCAAGTTGACATCTCTTGGGATGTCAAGAAGAAAGGCAGTTAACTAATAGAACCACAACTGCACTATCATGAATCAATGATAAATTCTGAAGTAGTGACTTTTTTTCTGAGAAGCTCAGGCAGATTTTGTGGGCATTTAGAGAGGTAGAGAGAGGGGCAGAGAGCAAGAGTGAGCTAGAGAATGAGAAAGGGTGGATAAAGATTTGTAGCTTACTTCTTAAGCATCAAGGACAGATTTTTCTTAATAAATATAAGCATCTCCACATTTTTGCCGGACAGCTTGTTGCGCTTCTCATCTATAATATTTCCTGCTGTGCTAAAAAGTCGCTCACTATCAACACTTGTGCATGGGGCACAGAGGTAGGTTTGTGCTGCTTGTGCGAGAGCAGGAAAGCGGCTTTTATTGTTCTGCCAAAAAACAAGAGAATTCTATTATTTTATCTGATATTTCTTTATGCTTCTTACTGTCCTTGCAGTAGGGTTGCTGTCTTTGAAACGTCTCTGTTACGGACGGCTGAGTGAGTGGTGCGCGAGTTGCTGAACTCTCCCGCTCTCTCTTAGCGCTAGCCAACTTTGAAAACTGCTCATGTTCCTTTACGTGACTAACCTTCAAATGTCTGATGAGGTTCGTAGTGTTAAAATGCTTTGGGTGCTTCCCACCTCGTGGAATTGGCTTGTTACACAGGTTGCAGATTGCTAATGTATTGTCTTTTTCACACAACACGTACAATTGCCAGACCGGTGAAGCCATTTTAGCAGTGCGCAAGAAATTGTCTCGCGAGTTTTGCGTCATCTGATCGGCTTTTCTATATCGGCCATTATAGAGACTGCCGATCAAACTTCCCAAAGCAATTATCGGCCGATTATGATCGGCGACTGATCAATCGGAGCACCCCTACTGTATACGGTTGTGAACATGCAAAGGGGATACAGCCAGAGCCACCACACCTTCTTCAGAGCGCAAATATGTGTCTCAGTATAAACATTTAGCATGACATGAAAATAGTTAAATATACAGCAGTCAGTGCTTCAATTCTCCATACTGAGCATACTTAAGTTCTTATACAATCTTATACAATAAAAACGATAATAAATAGATTTAAAAAAATATCCTGTGATACTGTAAGTGAGATACACACCTGAATACAATTGTGAAGATGCAAAGGGGATAACGTCAGAGCCACCAAGTCTTCTCTGCTGCGTGAGGTAACAGAATAATGTGAATACTTTCGTGTATTTACAAAATGTGAATATTTTAGTGCATTTTGTGCACTAAAACTGTCTTTGCATATGAGTCTACACACAAACATTGTGTACAGGTATTCTTTTTTAACAGAAAAATAAAGGGTCAAAGAGAGAAGGAAACAGACTAGAGTAGATATCCCCTTTCAAACAATCCCATGCACCCCCACCCCTTCATTTTTACTCATCCTTTTTGTTTCCACACTGTAAAACATTTCAAGTCTGTTAAACTTAGAAATGAAAGTTCACCTGCTGCCTTAAAAACATGAGTAAACTCAACTTGAAAATAACCATTGTTTCAACTCAAAAAGTTAAGTTATATAAATTAATCTAAATAAAGCATGTTCTTTGTCTCACCATTGTATTTCAAGTTGTCAAAGTTTATTTAAGTTATGATCATTTGTCGTTTAAACTTGAAAATCTATGTTAAAACAAGCAACTATGTTACATTATCCAGTCAAGAAAACTCACTGTATTTTGTCAATCAAGTACCCATTTCTGCAGCAGTTCAACTCACAATCTCAAGTTAACAATATTCATTTTAATTGCCATTTTAAGTTTAGAAGACTCATTTTTAAAAATTGTTTCTACTTAGATTTGTTTTCTTTATAAATGGCAAGTTCTTCCATTTCCTTAAATCTCATGATAAATCAAATTACAACTTTTGTTGAAAAATATACTTTTATTTGAATAAGAACAATGTAATACAAACTTTAACACTGTACATAGTATGTGCAAACATAACTCAGTCTTTACATTTGCATCTCGCTATCCTGGCCTTCTCTCTTACTCTCTATCCCTCTCTCTACTTGCCTCACCTTCTCTCCCCCCTTACTCTCTATCCCTCTCTCTACTTGCCTCACACCATCTTTTTCAATCTCCCTTCCCTCACTCTCCCTCTTTTTCAAGACAAATTTTCAAATTGCCTCGTTGTAAGAAGAAGCAGTACTTAACATAGCATCCTTGTTTTAAAAACATGTAACATTGACAACTCCTGACCAACATTCAAACTACATTGTTTTAAAAGCAAAATAAGAACATGAAGATACATCACTGGCTCTGTGAAAGCAATATTTAACACCCTTTCTACATGCCTCACCTTCTGTCTTCCCCCTTACTCTCTATCCCTCTCTCTACTTGCCTCGCCTCCTCTCCCCCCTTACTCTCTATCCCTCTCTCTACTTGCCTCACCTTCTCTCCCCCATACTCTCTATCCCTCTCTCTACTTGCCTCACATTCTCTCCACCCTTACTCTCTATTTGCCTCACCTTCTGTCTCCCCCCTTACTCTCTATCCTTCTCTCTACTTGCCTCACCTTCTCTCCCCCCTTACTCTCTATCCCTCTCTCTACTTGCCTCACCTTCTCTCCCCCCTTACTCTCTATCCCTCTCTCTACTTACCTCACCTTCTCTTCCCCCTTACTCTCTATCCCTCTCTTCTTGCCTCACCTTCTGTCTCCCCCCTTACTCTCTATCCCTCTCTCTACTTACCTCACCTTCTCTCCCCCTTATTCTCTATCCCTCTCTCTACTTGCCTAAAAATACATCACTGGCTCTGTGGAAGCAATATTTAACATTGCAGTGTGACCATTTCCTCCTCCCAGTTTGAGATGTGCAGTCAGCAGTCTATACACAATTCCGCAGCAGTCTGTTTCTAAGTCCATGTATCCTAGCAGAGCACTGCTTGGGTTTTATCTTCATGATGACTCTTTGCATAAATTCAAATAAGTACTTCATACTGCGAGGGTATTCCAGATTAAGGCAGTAGATGGTGCCCATTAGCATAGCAAAACCAGTAGGCACATCTCTGAGGCCGTGAAGAATGATCTTCTCCTCTACCACTACAGCCACACTGAAGATTTCAAGAGGAAAAGCATCATGCAAAGTGCCTTCATGTCCGATCAGAAGTCCTACCCGCATCCCCTTCATGATGATATCCAGGGTTTCACCATGAACCTAAAACAAATGGGCAGATTTAAACTTACATTTTATGCTATCAAGTAAATACTATACAGCTGAGATCAAGATATGCACAGTAAAATGACTCTGGATAGAATTCAAATTGACTAATGGCCACATGTTCTTTTGATTTGGTGCAGAGCACAATTTGGACTGCACTGCGAAATAATGCATAAAATCAACTCACATAATTAAGATATTATAATTATCATATTTCAGTCATAGAATAGCACTGAATCCAGTATTATCAGTGTCTTATCAATGTGGAAATAAATTTCCTTACATCACACATCCTGATTATCTCAGAAGTATCCTCTGAGAAAAAATGCGGAAGACCAAGTAGGGCAGCTGTTCTTCTGTTCTGGTTTGTATCCTATGTACAGTACAAGTACAGACAAATACAAATCATTACATTACTTAGGCTGACAACCTCCGTTTAGTACACATTGACAAGTTTATTTCTATACATGCCTCCTTATGAAGACACTGTAGAATACTGCTAAGGGTCAGCCTCCTGCTTGATGTAACACCAGCTTTGTACAGTTCTAAGAGACTTGGCACCAAGTCATCTAGCCCATCCAGGAATGACTGCAGCAGGTCTGTAGTGACGATTCTTTGGAACTCCGTACTTATCTGAAAGACAAATAAGACAGCAAAAATTAAAGTATATTTATGACACCTACAAATTACAAGCAATCTGATAACATTAATGTTTAAATAAACAAATATAGCATGTCATCGTAATTCACCGTAATACCGTGGATGTCTTACAGTAGTTGGCACTGGTTACCTGTCTCTCATTAAACAATGCAGGCCACGTGTCCATGACTACAGTGATAGGTGGCTCATCACCAATGATTTCCTTTCTTCGCTGAGAGAATGTTGCCATCATCAGTTCATCAAGGAGCTGCAAATTTGGAGCACTCTTCTGCACCTCTAAGAGCATGGTCATCCTATTCTCCTCTGATTTCACTACACTTTGTCCTTCTGGTGGATCTGGCAAGTAGTGTATCTCTCCCTTCTTTGACTTTTTGATTGCCTTGCTATTTGTCTGTCCCCTCTTTCTCTTATTTACAAGGACTTCAGGGCATCCAGCTGCCATCAACCTCTGACGGTAATTTCCCATCTTGAATTTTAGGCTGAATACCCAGCAATACCATCCTTTGGCAGAACCCGGCTCCCTCAGACAAGGATACTTTGCCACAAGAACTGTGACTACACTTTCATATTGGTCCTTACTTGGATAGGCAGTGATTTTGGATATGACATCTGCTAGTTTGTCCAGTATTTCACTTTTAACACCCTTGGAGATGACCATCAATGTTCCATCCTTGGCAAAGGCATCATTTGCTACGCTCAGCTATAGTTCAACATCATGCGAGAAATTTGGAATAGCAAAAGGATTAGGCCATTCCACTGGTGAAGCACTACTTGCGGAACTCAAGCTTGCTGTTTCTGATGTTGAATCAGAAATTCGTTCAGGAAAGGTGAACAAAACTTTCAGTGTTGCTCGATCAGTTGGAAGGTCTTTAATGTCTGTCAAATTGCAGAGCTGATTTCCAAAGTCAGGATCTTCAAACTGTAGAATGAAGTTTCCTCGCAAACCCAGACTTATGCGTAGCACATCACATAACTCCTTCACTGACTCAGGAACACTTTCTAGGGCAGGGGTCTCAAACTCCGGTCCTGGAGAGCTACTATCCAGTAGGTTTTCTGTCCCACTTGGCTTCTGATGAGCCACACCTGGCCCTGGTATTTACCTGAGAACAGGTGTGGCTCATCAGAAGCTGGGTAGGATAGAAAACCTACTGGATAGTAGCTCTCCAGGACCGGAGTTGGAGACCCCTGCTCTAGGGTGACACGTCGTATTTCTTCTTCTGACACAATAACGCGGAGAAGCATCTTGGAGGCATCAAAAACTAACACAGTGACGAAACACACTTTACAGTTACAGTGGAAAAATACAAATTACATCCTATCTGAAAGCAGATGAAAAACAATAAAAGCAGGTAGGTGCACGAAATTGTACTATACAAGTAAAAAAAGTGCATGTCTGCAGTAAAAGTATTGTGATTTTATCAGCAGTGACTTACTGAACAGTTGCTGGGGTGTAATAATAATGGAAGTTAAAAACAGAAATTTTAAGAATTAAAACAGTAAAAATAAAAGGGTTTTATAAAATGAGCATGGGTATTTGTACTTTCAGAACTTTCAGA